CCCAAATATATAATCAGTCATCCTCAAAACCCCAGGGCAGCAGCTCTTTTTGCCCACAGGTCCTGTCCCCATGCTTTAATAAAATCACCTTTTTCAAAAATGAAAACAAAAATCACCTTTCTTGCACCATTAAAAAAAAAAAAAAGATACTGCCGCAGTCATCCCAACCTTCAGCAACCATCACCCTGATCAGTTAGCAGGCCATCAACATGGAGGCAACACCCTCCACCAGCAAAAAGATTGTGACTCACTGAAAACGCATATGATAGCATTTTTTTTTAGCAATAAAGTATTTTTAATTAAGATATATACATTGTTTTTTAAGACATGATACTTTTGCACACTTAATAGACTACAGTATAGTGTAAACATAACTTATATGCACTGGGAAACCAAACAATTCATTTGACTCACTTTATTGTGAAGTTTGCTTTATTGTGGTGGTCTGGAACCAAACCTGCAATGTCTCCAAATTATGCCTTTATAAGTCTTTGCACTCCTTTTAGAACTTATTTCTAAGTATTTTATTCTTGTTGATGTTATGAGTGAGACTGTTTTCTTAATTTTATTTTTGCGATTGACCACCATTAGTATACAGACGTAAAACTGATTTTTGCATATGGATCATATATCCTTTGACGTTGATGAACCTGTTTATTTGTTCTAGTATTTGGGGTGTGTGTGTGTGTGTGTGTGTGTGTGTTCTTTAGGATTTTCTACATGGAGGATGTTTCTGTCTAGAGGAGTTTACCAATATTCCAACTCCTTTTACCCCTGCTCATTTAGTTGTCATTACCCTTACAACTGTCAGTCTTCATACTTACCAATTGTTAAACACCAGGCCTTCAGTTCCTCCAATACTATTCTAAATCCTCACTATTCTGCTTAGACTACTCAGCTCTCAGCAGCTATGTGTCTTCCTTCATATTTCACAAAGGAAATTAATGTTATAACCACAGACATCATTTACTGTGAATGAAATGATGCTTAAATTTCAGATCCCTTCACTCAGGAGCCCCTTCTAAGGTTCTCAGAGGGCCCCTAGCAATAGTAAGGTGGCCTAATTGTAATTGGTTAAAATTCTTTCTTTTTCCACTCTGATTTCCCCTTTCTTAAACTTATGATGTTGGTGTGCCATTAGAGTAGTCACAAATATTTTGGGAGTCTGAGTAAGGGAAAATTGAGTTGGGAATACACTATTAAAGCTGCCATTTGGAAAGACATTTTAGAATGCTTCAATAATACAATCAAGACATCGGGGCACCTGGGTGGCTCAGTCGGTTAAGCATCTGCCTTTGGCTCAGGTCATGATCCCAGAGTCCTGGGATCTAATCCCACATCAGGCTCCTTGCTTGGCAGGGAGCCTACTTCTCCCTCTGCCTGCCGCTCCCCTCCTGCTTGTTCTCCCTCTCTCTCTCTGACAAATAAATAAATAAAATCTTTAAAAAAAAAAAAAGGGGGGCGCCTGGGTGGCTCAGTTGGTTAAGCTACTGCCTTCGGCTCAGGTCATGATCCTGG